CCCCCCAAACCCTTTAAAAAAAAAAAAAAAAAAAAAAAAAAAAAAAAAAAAAAAAAAAAACCCTCAAGAAGCTAGCTTAATAGGCAGCCAGCAACTGGCTACCTTTTAAGGCAGCACCGCTACTGCCTTATTTATATTAAAAAAAAAAAAGAAGAAGCATAAAAAGCGAGCCTACTCGACTTGGCTCGGAAAGGCTCGAGCAGAAAGCTTGGGTCGAGCTTAATTTTTTTGGCCGAGCTTTTGCTCGGCTTGGGCCCAAAAAAAAGTTGGCACATTTTACCCGAGTCGAGCCCGAGCCTTGAGTTTCAGTGCGCGAGCCGACTCGGCTCGGCTCGTTGACATCCTTAATCACAATCCAACGTATGAATATATCATGTTCAATAACTATGAGTTACAAAAAAAATTTAAAAACACTTACGTTTATAAATAATTCAAAAATAATAATAAATAAATAAAATTTTGATTTGCAAAGCATGAATGCTTTGATCATCGACTTACACCGCAACCCTAACTTAAACATTTTTATTCAAAGAAAGCCCAAATTACAAGATTAGTATCAACTAGTATTTGAAATGCAACAATCTGATGATGGCAGATGAGAGGTAAAAAAGTATGAGCTAGCTTTGATTTTTAAGATTAAAGTCTAGAAAATTACTATCCAAATTAGATTACCTAGCCTATAAATTGAAAAGAATCATATAAAAAATCGGTTCCATTCGAGTACATACGGTTCTGGTTCAAGAAAAAAGAACCAATATTCCATTAGGTTCCCGGTTCAAGAAAAAAGAACCAATATTCCATTAGGTTCCCAAGCTCCTAATTTTATTTTATTTTTTATCTTTATTTTTTTGGAATAGGACCGAAACTTCCGGTTCCATTTTAATTTCGGTTTGACTTCGGATCTTGTTAAAATGCTCAAGCCAACTACCGTCTGAATTTTTTCCTTGATATCTTTGAAACCAATGATTAACTGTCGTGCAGGCAATAGGTTGTTGGAGCATTCATTAGTAACCAAATGAGAAGAGAACAGCATGTAAAGGAACATAAAACAAAATGTTTGTTTGGTACAGATGTGACAATTTAAATTATAGCCTTTTGGTTGAAGTCAAATGCTGGTCAAAGTTACTCAATTATCAAGAATTAATGTGAAATGTTTAATTTAACATTGATGGCTTGTTTGGTAACATAAATTGTAGAGTTTAAAATCTCAAAGGTTAAACCCTAACCTTAAGGGTCCCCCACCACCCCTGCCCTGGAGTATCGTGAGGGAGGTAAATCGCAAGTTATGCCTCCAAGGGTATAGGGTGGAAGGCTGCTTGTACACTTGCACTTACCCAAGAGCCAAATCCATATTTCAGGATTCGAACTCTTGACGCAGCAGCCTCAAGCAAAGCTGAATTTCTACACCCTCTCCTTTTACCACTTGGAGATGTGCTATGGGGGCTTAAAATCTCACTCATTATATGTTAAGTTCAACTAGTTCATGTGCAATACTGAAAACATTAAAAACAAAAAATATTTCAAATTTTTTTTTTTTTAATAATTATCAATCATGCCATTTTTACCTATTTTCCAATAGATACATCCTCCAAAATCAAGAAATGGGCATCCCAAAAATCCCAACCACAATGAATTCTACCTTTTATGGAGGAGTGTGTGTTAGTTAATCATTTTCCTTACCCGCTATCGAGTCCACAAAATTAAGTAACTTAACATTTAAGCTTGAATTTTGGGCCTTTGACTTGCCTTCTCCTTGCGTTTAGTGAAATGATCTTTCCATTTGACATCAATCCACAATCAAGTGCCTAAAGGTTACCTCATTGTGAGCAATTAAGACAGAATTGTTGTGTACTATCATCAATTATGCTAATTTGAATAGATTTTTGAAAATTATGTTCTACTCTTCTTACTTTCAACCCTCGAACACCTATAAAATTAAGAGCTTGTTTGGTGGGGATTTCAAGAATTGATTTTTTGATGGTAAGAGAAAAAGTGGGTTCGACCGATGAGAGAAGAATTTAAGAATAACGGCTGAAATAATGAAATAACGGTCAAAAAATTTATTTTAATTGGCTTAACATCCCTATCAAACAAGCGCGAAAATGGAAAAGTGTTCCTTGGCAGGACTCGGATGCTCAAGTTAGAAGCAATATTGAGAGAGAGGAAATATAACATGATATTCAAAAGGTAGTTGACATGTTAATCTGAATGTACTGCCTTTTTGTAGATAGTGTCATGTTTCCAACTAATTTATCACCCTCCTACATCCACTCCTTAGAATTTAGAGATTTCTTCTCAAGGACGTGATTCTAGAGACGTGGCCTCTGTTTGGGTTTCTATTATTTATTTATTAATTTATATTTTAACTAGAAGTTACTTTTTAAAAAATAAGTTGTGAGTAAGTGGATGATACTTGTAGGTCATTTCCTTTCATAGGAAATGTGTGGGTAAAATTAAAATTTGACTTCCGAGTAGTAAGTGTTTGATAAAGAAAAAAATGAAATCCAAATAGAGGCATGATTGCTTGACAATAGTTGGCTATTTCCGACTGAAAATATTGATGCTTGTCTTTTGAAAGCCAAAGGCGTCTATGCAACATCTTTACCTCATCGTGCAATGGCCTCTTTACATGAGATGGATAATGGCTTATAATTTACACTATTCATCATTCTATTGAAAACGATGTTTCTGGCCACACATCTCTTCATTCAAGCAAGCCTCAACAATCGTGACACGAATGTTTAATCCATCTCACTTGGACATGCTATTGAATCCCTTTCTTTAGCCGACGTACCCATCCAGGAGGACTATAATAGTTCCTAAATGCCAATTTTCTTGTCATAAAATTGTATTATGTTAAAAGTCAACCGTTGTATTGTTCAATGTTACCTACTAAGCCCTTGTTTAAACCCGATTTTTTCAAAAATTCATTTTTTCAAAACTCGTTTTCAACTACACATTTTCAATAAAATAATATTACATGCAAATCCAAAACATTTTCTTAATTTTTAATCACACATTTTCAATCAATCACTATTTAAAAATGCATTCTTTCACTTAAAATGAGGCTCAAACAAGGGCTAAACATGGAACTTTACCGCTCCCATATATATTACACGTATATAGATGTGTACGTTCTTCGATTCAATACGTTAAGCCCCATTTTTGTGGAGGATTAAAGTCATTTTTAGTGGATTTTGATAAAATCGATGAAATGTATAGCTGAAAAGTTATGGATCTTATGTAATATGTGGTTAAAATTAAATATTGACTTTGATTTGGATTAAATTATAGATTCATACGGCCTCTAAGTCTCATATCTATTAATGCCCCAAAAGATAGGGAAGTAACCAATAACCAAGTAACCCTTTTTTCTCTATTCTAGCAGTAGAAAATGGACTTTTTCTCTATATAGACTTTCCCTCTTGTCGTATTTCCCCAATCGCAATTGTTTCTAGAAGGTACAAATTAAACTATTACCAAATCGTATACGCACCACTAAAACATTTCAACATGGATCCTTCTGAAGAAGCCACAAGGAAACAATACTCATTTTCGTCTGACCCTACAAACTTCTTGATATCATCTCTTGTTCTAGAATTATTCGAACCGGCCCTCCCAATTTCCCTTCCTTTTTTTCTCTTTCAATCTTAGAAAAATCTTAATATATAATTATATATATAACAATTCGATCTCTCAATTCCGAGATTGCCTCAAATTTCTTTCACTTTTACTTCTCTCTGAAAATGGATGATTCTACAAGTTTTCAGGATCAAGTGTATACAAAAGAAGAAGAAGAAGAAGAAGAAGAAGAGATAATTTCTCTTTGTGATTTTCCTCTAAACAGTGACGAATCCGAGAAGAAGGATGTTTCTAAGATTCAAGATCGAAGTTCTTCGTCGCCCTCAGATTTGTTCGAGTTCTTCAGTGATGTCAGCTCCGACATGTCCCATGCAGAAGACATAATTTTCTGTGGTAAACTCGTACCCTACAAAGAACAACCTCTTCTCAAGGATCATTTTCACAATTCTCTCTCGACAGATGATAATAGCTTCAAGAATTTTAATACAAGAAGGTGCGAATCATTGTCTGATGAGAACACAAGATCACACAAGACGAAGAAGTTGATAAGAAACAGCAGGTTTTTAGATTACAGAAAACTCCATAATTCAAGCTTGGAAATCAAATCTGAGGACTCGGAAATCCTAAGAAGTTCATCAAAGAGTTCGACAAAATCTGATCCGGGATCAAAGGTATCTAAACCAAGATGTTCTATTTTGAAGTTTGGCCTAGTGAAATTTCCACCAGAAATGGACCTCCAAGATATAAAAAACCGGCAAGTTCGCCGGAAAATTCCGGGGAGTGTGTTTCCGGCGGCTGAGACTGGCTGGAAGGCTCCAGCTAGTCGGATTGACCGGAGAAATTCTTGGGGTCATGATTTGTTAAGTGTGTTAAGTTGTAAAGCTCATACTAGCGTAGCCGTGACTGCATCCAATATTAATTTCGTGCATGAAATTTGAAAAGTTCAAAATTATCATATAATTTTCACATGATAAATTTACTATAGTCCGCGAAATAACATTACTTAGAAGAGAAGATAGTGTACAGCACACACATTTGGTATAATGTGCCTGGACTTGTAGTTGAGAAGAGGGATAAGGATTGATATCAATGAAGCTCACAAGAATCACTATGATGAAATGAATACCATATTTAATTTTATTATTTTCTTTTTTTAATTATATTTAATGTATTTGCAATACAAATAGTTATATGTATGGCTGTATGTGTAGGACAAATAATTCTATATAATATACTTTTTTTTCTATTTGAAATTTCAAAATCAAAGGCTGTTGACTGACTAGTAATTTGCTGACCAAGGTAAAGTTATTCCAATAATTGACTATTCCTTTATGTATAGAGGTCAATAAATAGATTCTGCCTTTTTGGATGCGCATTTTTATTAAATAAAGTTAATAAAAGTTAATAAATCTTATTAAATGTGTGATTAAAAGTGAATAAAATTTATTGATAAAATAAAATGTATGATTAAAAATGAAATTTAACCAATTTGATTAATTTTTATTATTTATTTATTTATTTTTTAAGTAACTTCGACAAATAAACCATGAACAAATTAACTATTAAAGTTTCAAATGTGCGTACTTTCTATTTTTTCTTGGCTCAAAGGCATGCTTGAAGGTGATTTGGTTTGGGCTGGTTTCGACTCCAATTCAAAACCAAAACCAAATTAGTCGGTTTGGTGAATTTCAACTAAACCAACTCACTCTAACGAAAGTAATGAAAACGAGAATGCTTCATAGTTTCTAGCTTTCTTAATATCGACAAATTCCTAATAATCGCACTTAACCTTATATCCGTGTTATCATTGATAAAATCTTAGAAGTTTTGTGGCGACGACGGACTCGGCCACTCACTTGGAAGAGTAAGATTGATTGAACACTAATAAGAGATATAACCACATGTGATATTTAACCTAATTTTGTTTAGCTTTACGTACTTCAGCATCTTTCGTCCTTTTGTTTTCTATAATTTAATTAGAAAAATATGCAATGAAGGTTACAAACTTTCAAAAAAATGCAGCGCAATTCTAAAATTTAAATCGTCGTAGATACATTCTAAACCTTTCAAAAATATTTGATAGAAAGAACTCGAATAATTTGTGTTCAAAAATTCGTTAGTTGATCAAAAGTCACGAATTTGACCTTATTTAAAAATACAAAATGGTCAATCTATATTTTACTACAACAAAAATGGAAAAAAAATATAAAAAAAAAAAAAAAAAAAAAGTGAAATTTCTTCATGTCCCTCACCCCACCCCATCACATCAAAATAAACAGAAAATCCAGATTTGAACAAAAAATAAAATCCAAGTCGTCCATCATTTTACGGTCATTGTTGAATAACAAAAAACTCGTAAAGGAATATTGGCAAACTCGTACCTCAATTATGCGAACCCTATAATCGCATGCGAACCTTGGGAAATAGAAGCGAGCATTCATATATATGAGAAATTGCAACTAAAAATGGCGAACTGTTTCTATCAAAACATTTTGCATCGATAAAAAATCATTATCAAAGCACACGTGAATAGAGGTGCAAAGCATGACTTCATAACCAATTAATGGCAATTAAAACGTGAGTAGATAACAGAATTAACTAGAAATCATTAATCAATGGTTGCCACATATCACCAACTAAAAAGACTCATATACCCCCAGGCCTAACTAGAAATCTATAAATAGGGGTGTCTAGGGTGAAGAAGAGTAAACATAATTTCTTCATCCCAAATGGTCATTTATCTTCTTGCTCCCTATTGGCCAGCATATTATCGAGTATATGAGGGAAAAATCCTGATTATATAAGAGAACCACGAATTGTTCATTATCATTTTGAGATCAACAAATTGGTGTCTTGTGTCGAAAATTAGAGCGAAAAGAACCACGATCTCGTTGTTTTGAGCTCACAAATAATAAAAATTTGCATAGAAATAAGTCAAGCAGAAGTATATCTAATGGAGGTAAATGTTATTGGAGATCAGAGTTGAAACTCTCAGTGATGGTTCGAAGAACCGTGACGAAAATCTAAAGTGACAGCAAGAGGAATCTCTAAGGAAACTGCAAACAATTCTCCCTCCTGCACAGTATCGTTATCAATAAAAAGAAGATTTCTACTATGAAAACCATCCAAGAGATGGATGAAGGCCTTAGAGCTTTAATAGCAGAAAATGCTCGTAAGGCAAAAAAATTCAAAGGTAGATTTTGTAAGTGTTATACCCTAAATCCAATCGACTTTAGACATAAACTCTTATTTAATATATAATTGATGTAATTTTATGGCAAAACTATTATTTAATTAATATTCAATTAAAATGTATGATTAAAAATGAAATTTAACCAATTTGATCATTTTGTATTTTTTTTATTTTTTTATTTTTTTTAACAAAAGGTGACATTAACAAATAAGCCATGAACAAATTACGATTAAAGTTTCAAAATGTGCATACTTTCTATTTTTTCTTGGCTCAAATGCAGGCCTAAACATGATTTGGTTTGGGCTGGTTTCGAATCCAATTCAAAATCAAAATCAAATTAGTTGATTTGGGTGAATTTCAACCCAACCAATCCACTCTAACAAAAGTGATGAAAACGAGAATGCTTCATAATTTCTAGCTTTCTTGACATCAACAGATCGCACCTAACCTTATATTCTGATTATCATAGACAAAATCTTAGGAGTTTTGCGGCTACAACGGACTCGGCCACCCACTTGGAAGAATAAGATTGACTGAACACTACTAAGAGATATAGCCACATGTGATATTTAATCTGATTTTGTTTAGCTTTACGTACTTCAGCATCTTTTGTCCTTTTGTTTTTTATAATTTAATTAGAAAAATATGCAATGAAGGTTTCAAACTTTCAAAAAAATACAGCGAAATTCTAAACATTTAAACCGTCGCAGATACATTCTAAACCTTTCAAAAAATATTTGATAGAAAGACCTCGAATTATTTGTGTTCAAAAATTCGTTAATTGATCAAAAGTCAAGAATTTGACCATCTTTAAAAATAACAAAATGGTGAATCTATATTTTACTACAACTAAAATGGAAACAAAAAATAAAAGAGAATTTGCTTAATGTCCGTCACCCACCCCCGTCACATCAAATTGAATAAGAACAAAATCCAGATTCGAACCAAAAATAAAATCCAACTCGTCCATAATTTCATTTTCCTTTAAACTTTCTCCTCGTGGAAGTTTAGTGTCAGTCTCTATCTTTGAACGTTTGATAACACCCTTAATTTACTGTTTTTTGCTTATCAAAAGTCTCATAATCATAAGACTACCCCTTCAATCAGGTAATCCCATTCCCTATCCTTGAGCAACCTCTATTTTAAGTGTAGTGGAACTTTTGTTCTTCTCTCCTTTATCATTGTTGAACAACCAAAAACTTGTAGAGGAATATTGGCAAACTCGTACCTCGATTATGCGAACAAACCTCGGGAAGCAGAAGCGAGCATCTATAAATATGAGAAATCGCAACTAAAAGTGGTGAACTGTTTTCATCAAATTATCTTTGCATTGGTAAAAACGGTTATCAAAGCACACGTAAATAGAGGTGCAAAGCATGACTTCATAACCAATGAATGGGAATTAAAACGTGAGTAAATAACATAATTAACTAGAACTCATTCAATCAAAGGCTGACACATGTCATCAACTAAAAAGACTCACATACCCCTAAGGTCTGAATAGAAATCTATAAATATGGGTGTCTGGGATGAAGACGAGTATACTGAATTCAAAATTGCTTCCTCCCAAATGGCCATGTATCTTCTTGCTCCCTAATGGCCAGCATAATATGGAGTTTAGAAGGGAAAATCCTAGTTATATGAGAGAAATCTGTTTATTATCATTTTGAGGTCAACAAATTGGTGTCTTCACTCGGAAACTAGAATGAAGAGAACCACAATCTTGTTGTTTTGAGGTCAAAAATAATGAAATTTTGTAAAGAAATAAGTCAAGCAAAAGTATATCTAATGGAGGTAAACGTATTGGAGATCGGAGTTAAAACTCTTACGATGGTTCGAAGAACAGTGACGTAAATTTAAAGCGACAGCAAGAGGAATCTCTGACGAAACTGCAAACAATTCTCCCTCCTGCACAATATCATCATCAACAAAAGAAGATTTCTACTATGAAAACCATCCAGGAGATAGATGAAAGCCTTCAAGCTTTAATAGGAGAAAATGCTTCCTTATGCGCAAAGGTAAAAAAATTCAAAGGTAGATTTTGTAAGTATTATACCCTAAATCCAATCGACTTTGGACATAAACACCTATTTAATATATAATTGATGTAATTTTATGGCAAATCTATTATTTAATTAATATTCAATTAAATCAAATAATAGAGTCCGTAGATTCAAATCTTGATAATTTGTTAATCACAAGGAGATGTGATTGAGATACAAATTACATGGATTGAATATTAAATCGTCTGTGGTCGTAAGTAATAACGAGATGCGGATATCATTATTACGAATAGACCATCACGTGTGGCATTTCTTATTTAAGAAGTAAGTAGCTGATCTTACAAGTTAAAGTGTGGTGACACTTGAATGAACACATGGATGTTTTCTTATAGAACAAAATATTGGATACCCGTCAAGAGATTCCACGTGGATAACTATCTGAGGGTCAATGGTTAATGTCTAACGTTTGGTAGTGGAATTGATCATTTGACTTGAGGTCATCATGGTACCTTATACAAGGATAGTCATACTTCGACGGTTATGGATGTTGTTCTGCTAAGGGCTGCTAATACATCATCGTTCAGATATGTCAAGAATCGTATGGAGGTTGTGAATGATCAATAAAGGATTCGTCACTCTTAGATAGTAAGAGATTATGATCTGCTTTTCATTCAATTAAGTCGATGGAGAAATCCTTGGCTAAGGTACACTCAGAAGTCGAAAAGAAGTTTTCGATTTATAT